CTATTTTCATGAGTGGGCGTGTCCTGAAGATCTTCCCTGTCAGCACAGCGGGTCCCTCCCAGGGACTGCACCTCGCTCCTATGTGGGGAGGGCAGGCCATAGAATATTCAATCCACGACCTGTGCCCACTTCCCCCCACTGCACACTCTGCTGCGGGAACAGCCTCGTCCATAGACCTTGATGTGTCTGGAGGTAAATTCCTAAAAATGCAAACGCTGGAGCAAAGAGGGTGTGAATCTCATTGGTAGTTAGTTAACTGTATGCATATCCGTCTGTGGGACTAAGGTTTCGGTGCCTATTTCCACGCCGCTGTCTGAAAATACTTTGCAGTCTGCTCCTCCTCAAGAGTGTCAGATGTGTGACCACCGTCCCAGGCCCTGCCCAGCACTGGGCCTGCTGTGTTTACACAGCCTCCCTTCCTGGGCTGTGAAGGCTGTGGTTACCCAGGGCCTGCTCTCCTCCTCCTGGGTGAGCCTGGGAGGGAAAGTGCTCGCTGAGACCCTGAAAGGCGAGGCGGCGCTGCAGTGAAGGTCGGCTTTCAGGAGGGAACAGTGCCTGGGAAGGAAAGTGCTCGCTGAGACCCTGAGAGGCAGCGCTGCAGTGAAGGTCGGCTTTCAGGAGGGAACAGTCCTGGCCTCTGTTCGGACTCACCTTTGCTCTGCCCCGTCCCCACCCTGGTCAGCACACAGCAGGGAGCGGCGAATCCTGAGCCGGGCTCCTCCCCTGGGCGTGTGGAATGCCTGTCTCAGTGCCACCCCCTAGACGGGAGGAACAAGCCAGGCCCTTGTGTGGATGTGGGCGCGCCCCGGTTTCTAGAACTTGTGTGTGAGCCCATTGCTTTTTAACAAACGGAATCCTAGTCGTTACATGGGGACCGGAGAGGGTCTGCACTCAAGCTTCATCTAATGCAGCGGTTCTCAACCGGTGGGTCGCGACCCCTTTGGGGGTCGAACGACCCTTTCACAGGGGTCGCCTAAGACCATCGGAAAACACATATATAATTACATATTGTTTTTGTGATTAATCACTATGCTTTAATGATGTTCAATTTGTAACAATGAAATTGGGGGTCACCACAACATGAGGAACTGTATTAAAGGGTCGAGGCATTAGGAAGGTTGAGAACCACTGATTTAATGGGAAATATCTCCCTTGTCATTTGTAATCATTGCGGGGGGCGGGGGGGGGGAGTAACTTTTCATCGGCGTCATCATAATTTTCGTGATTTGTTACTTTCTTTCCTGGTCATTGCTCAGCTGGCACGCCAGCTCCCCTCCGGCGACGCCTTGCTCAGCCAGACTGCTGGGAAGTGCAACACCTGCCCAGTCCCTCCTTGTTTAAAAAGTGGCCAAAACTAAAAGGAGTCGCAGCCCACAGCACAGCAGGAAGCTGCACTTGCTGAGGTGACAGCCTGCTAACCCGGCCTTTGCCACCTGAGGAAGGTGACCCTCCTCACCCCATGGGAGGTCCCTGCCACTGGGCAGCCAGCTCTGCCCCTCCCACCCATCAGGAGTGTGAGGAAGGGAAGGGGTCAAGGTTGTAAACATCATTCACATTCTCGCAGTTGAGTAACAGCTTATAAATAGCTCTTCTGTTTCGATCAACTGTACTTACATTATCCAAAGGGGAAGGACCATCTTTTGCCTCTTTGAAGTAGGTGAATATTTATTGGGGTTAAAAGCAAATACACAAACACACCTACTGGTTAGTTACTCTGGAACTTCAGTTTTCCACGCAGGGTAATTGTTGTGGGCGCCCAGAGAGAATAGCCAAGGAGGGGGCGTCACCAGGAATCTTCATTGGTGGGAGGGCGCCGCGGACATGCGACAGGCCCGGTGAGTCATGCTGTGGCCATACTTTTTCTCCTGCTGCTTTGCCGCAAAAGGAAGGAGGAGCGGTGAGGTCGAGGTAATTTTGTAGAACTGATGCTACATGTGGTTCTGAGAAAGCCAAATATATCGTATAAACCGTTTCCCTGTGCACGGCAGCATGGGTGGCAGGCCTGGCAGGGCCCCAGCTTGCAGCCCAAGCCGGGGCCCTGGCTGCGTTTTTAAAACGGCTTTCCCCGGAGCCTCTTAGAATTTGCTTTGACCCAAGGGCCCATGTCTCCTGAAGAGAACACAGATCGTTTTTAAACGTGAATTGTAGAATGGCGTCCATCTTGTTTCCTTCCTTACCTACCCCTTCTCTCGAGGGGCCTCCTATTACCTTTTCTCTTGCTCCTTTTGACGTCTGATCAGGCAGCCTTTCTAGAAACCCTTACTCAGAATCCTTTCCTTCTCTCCTTTGTCCAAACTCCCCCCAAAAGTGAACTCCCGAGAAAGAGCTGCGTTTGCCCTGAGTCTTGTCCAGCAGGATGCATGCAGGGTTTAAAGGGAAGGGAGAACTCTCCAATCTCCAGTCTGCCATTATTTCTTATGTATTAGGTTGTGTGTGTGTGTGTGTGTGTGTGTGTGTGTGTGTGTGTGTTACCTGCCATTATTTCTTATGAATTAGGTTGTGTGTGTGTGTGTGTGTGTGTGTGTGTGTGTGTGTACCTTTCCTCCTCTACTCTGCTGGAAAATTAAAAGTATTTTAGATCCACATCAAATGGCACCCTCTCCAAGAAGTTATTTCTGCCTCTCCCAGGACAAAGGAGTCTCCCGCTGTGGGAACACCCATTTTACCTGTGCTTACAGATTGACTGTTGCTGACCCATGAACATATCCACCCATATCTAGGTGCCCTTCAGTGGATGGTGACCTCCCCAAGTGCAGCCATCATGTTGCTCCCATCCCCCCTCACCCAGGGCCTGAACCTGAGGGGGATTCTACTGCACAAATGCCAAGTTAAAGGAACCCCTGCCGGCCACAGGTGTTCCGAAGCCACTCCGGGTGTTGAGTTGTAACTCCGATAAGCAGATAAGGGCCACAGCTTTCTCTGTCCAAGGAGTCCACGGGGCCAGATGAGGTCCTTCCGCCCATAGCATGTTCTGGGCTGTGTTTCAGCTCCTGTCCCTTTCCTCGTTAATATAGCGGTGACCGGTCATCAAAACATAGCTTATGTTTTGAATGTAGGAGGCCAGTGTTCCGTTGACAGTGGTAAGCTAACAGGGGGAAATGAGGATAATGTGACCTAGCCAGTGTGTGGCACACATCCTTTCCACTTCTGAGTTCTGTCATAGAATTTGCAGAACACGTCTCGGAAGTTTCTATTTCACTGTTCATTTTCATTGATAAACACTATGAAATAAGACGGTTGAAGGAATTATGGGAGACCGTTGATCGTTTATTGTGCTATACTCTATCTAGACCCTGCTCGGCGCTTTACGTATGTCATTTTATTTAATCCTTATAACAGTTCTATAAAGTGGGTCTCATTTCTCCCATTTTTCAAATGGAAAGAGAAGCAGAAGTGGTGCAGTGAGTGTAGGTAACTTCTCCCCACTTCACTTAGTCTGTCGGTGACAAAGCTGAAACTTGAATCCAGGTCGATCGATAGTAAAATCTTTGTTCACTCTGTTCTGCCGCATTTGATGTGAGGATTATATGGGAAGTGAGTGGCAGTTGTTTTTTTAACTCCAGGAGAAAAGAAACTATCCTAATAATTGCATGTTTTCCACCAGCAGGGAAGCAAAGGGGCCTACCGGTACCACTGGCAGAGCCACAACGTCAAGCACAGCGGCGTGGACGACATGGTCCTTCTCTCCAAGATCACAGAGAACGCCATCGTGGAGAACCTGAAGAAGAGATACATGGACGACTACATTTTTGTATCCTTCATTGGTTCCTTTGGACATTTCTAAATGAGGTGACAGTGTCCACCGGAAAACATGGCTTTAGTCCTGGTGTAAGAAGATCCTTCTGGTCCTGGCCCGTGTGCCTAAGTGGTTAGAGTGTCTGCTCACACACTGAAGGGTCGAGGATTTAATTCCTGGTCAAGGGCACATACCTGGGTTGCAGGTTCAATCCCCAGCCCTGGGTCGGGGTGCCTGTGGGTGGCAACCAATCAGTGTGTCTCTCTCACATCCATGTGTCTATAGTCCTGGTATAAGAAGATCCTTCTGGTCCTGGCCCGTGTGCCTAAGTGGTTAGAGTGTCTGCTCACACACTGAAGGGTCGAGGGTTTAATTCCTGGTCAAGGGCACATACCTGGGTTGCAGGTTCAATCCCCAGCCCTGGGTCGGGGTGCCTGTGGGTGGCAACCAATCAGTGTGTCTCTCTCACATCCATGTGTCTCTCTCCCCACCTACCCTTCGGCCTCCCTCCCTCCCTTCTGCTCTCTCTCTAACAAAATCAATGGAAAAAATATCCTCAGGTGAGGATTAACAACAACAACAACAACAAAAAAGATTCTTCTGAAGGCCTTGTGCTCACGTCATTTTTACCCTTTCAGAATGTGGTTGTGTACTTTTTTGTCCCTTGGTTCAGGCTGTGGGAAGGGCAAAGATGATGCTGGATTATTTTCCTGGCATTTCACATAATCAAGATGCAGCCAGTAGCCATCTACTTTAATCCATGGCACTGTGTCTTTGACGTCCTCTAGCCACGCACATGGTGTCTCCCACCCCTGGTGGTTCAGAGAAAGTCCTGACCTGCAGAGAATTCTGTCAATCGCGCTCCCTAACTGCAAAGCAGTTAAGTCTCAACTTAAAAAGTTTAAAAACGATTGCCCCATGCAAAAAATGTGCAATTTGGTCAGTTTTTCTGCATTCTTATGTTTACTAAAGGAAACCTGAGAAGTGAGGATAAGCTATTGAAATGCCTGGCATTCCTGAGTTGTCCTTTACGTTTCGATTTTAGCTTGCCAGATGCCTGTTTCAAAAATATTCTTAAAATTGATTTCAGAGAGGAAGGGAGAGGGCGAGAGAGATAGAAACATCAATAATCAGAGAGTATCATTGATCGGCTGCCTCCTGCTCGCCCCCCGCCCCACCCCTCCTTGTTGGGGATCGAGCCCGAGCCGGAAACCTGAGCATGTGCCCTGACGGGGACTTGAACCCTGACCTCCTGGTTCATAGATCAATGCTCAACCACTGAGCTACACCAGCCGGGCTGCCAGATGCCATTTTTTATGGGACTTCTAAAAATTCAGAATGGAAATTTGATTCAAATGCGTGTTGACTACATTATAAACAGAGAACTGTGACACTTAAGTTCTTACAGGATTCGGGAGTTTTGTTTGGTGCAGCTAGGTAAAGCTCTCTTAGTGGAATGATTGCAGAGTTGGTCACAGACATGCGAAGATTTGTGTAAAATCTCTTGGTAGCGCCAGCAAGTTTAACTTTGCTGTTGGCGCCTTTGAAGGGATGGTGTTGTGGCGGACCATGGCAGGTGGAGTCTTTGCAACCCTCATAATGCACCTTTAGGATTTTAACCCCCAAAGCACGGGGAGAGTAGTTTTCACACCAGTAGCTTCTGCTTATTATTCACGCTGCTCATTTGGCTGTTGGTTAGAAGTACCCGTACCTACGCAGCAATACTTGTGCAGGGACTGCCTGTCTCAACATTAGGAGAGTTCAACGCACCCGGTATGTATCGAGCGATACGTTATTCTGAGGCACTTGGACGATTCTTCCCAATGCTGTGCTGTTTCTTATTTACCATAGGAGATGTGTGTGTGTGTGTGTGTGTGTGTGTGTGTGTGTTTTGTTTTTGTTTTTTACCAAATATCAGGGTAGTTAAATCCCTAAACCCTTGCCTTTAAGTGTGAACAGCTATATTTGGATTTGTCAGCTGTATTGATCAGGGGTGGCAGCTACCGCCTGCAGACAAGATCCTGCTCACTGCCCATTTTATAACCAACGTTTTATTGGAACCCAGCCGTGCTCGGTTGTTTTATTCTTGTCTGTGGCTGCTTTCATGCTGCAATGGCAGAGCTGAGTGGTTGCAACAGACCATCTGACCCCCAGGCCTAAATTAATTACTTTTGTGGCCCTTTACAGAAAAATCTTTGCTGACTCCTAGACACCTGTGCAGAACTGCCTTTAATTTAATTGGATGGAAGCACTTGTGTTCAGCTGTAAGATTTCATTTTATTTGCTCAAAAAAATTGAAATATGCCACTTTTTCTGGGCTTATCATCATCAAAATATTTAAATCCCTTTTATGTGCAAGATCCGTGGCCCATGGAAACTGGCAGGGGGTAGACTAGAAAAAGTTGGGTGCAGGAAGCGGATCTGGGCTGCCTGACTTTGAACCTTACTCTGCTTGGGCCTGGTTACCGTAGGACCTTTTGTCATCGGTGTGCCTTGATTTCCTTGCCTGTAAAGTGGGAATGACAGTAAAATCTCCCGCATGAGCTGTTGCAGGGTTAAGTGAAATGATGAATGCAGTAAGTACACAATAAGCATTCGTTAGTATTATCATTCGCTAAGGCAAGTGTGTAAGCTCCTCCCATATTTCTGAGTTATATTCCAAAAATTCGATTGTAAAGATACTTATTGGAAATTCAAATGCTTGTTATCCTGAAAAACTTTTAAATGGAGGATTGGGTTATTGACAAGCCCATAAAAGGCTAAGTTCCACAGAATGTAGTTGAACAAATTATTTATTGGAATGTTCTTAGAATGCAGGCTCCACTTCTTACATTATTGACATAGAACATGGATTTTGATAAGCTGGATAAGAAAAGAAAAAGGTGGTGTCAGTGGTTATCAGCAGGCAACCCAGCCATCCTCATTTCTCCCCACCAGGATCGTTTATTCCTAAAACACCAGAGATTCGTTGAGGACAAGGAGTGTGTCTTGTATGACTTTTTTAAAAAAACAACGTTTAAAAAGCCCTTTAAAGTAATACATTTCATTTAACATGACTTGTAAAATGGAGTCCAGCAGAAAGGAGAACACTAAAATCACCCAGAATCCCACCATATAGGGTTAGTGCCTATATAATCCCTTGCTTTATATTTTTCAAATTATCCACATATAGGCATGTGTTTATGTGTGCTTTCTTGTTAATTCTAACAGAAATGGGATCCTCTTGCATTGTGTGTTTTAGTTTCCTGCATAATTCTTGGCATGGTGCATCGTATTACGTGTTCATTGAAAATTTGTTGACAATTAAGACTTGCTTTTTATATTCAGACAGCAGAATTTTTAAGTGACTCACACAGAGGGGGTTGATTACTTGCCTCTGAATTAATGCCTTTGAATCAATGACTGACTAATCGTGTACTTTACCAAGGAAATGAGTTAGTTGACCACTAATGACTTCGTGTCTTAGAAATCTGCCCACTCGATAAATGAGAAACTCAGCATCAGTGTGCTTTCATCAATAGCACAGGGCAGCTCTTGGCTTTGAGAAAGCTTGATGGGTCTGTTGGATGTTTACGAAAATAATGCCAAGGGTGGAGCTGCAAATCTTTTCCTCTGATAAGTGATAAAAGCCTTCTTTATCAGTTCAGTGCTATGGGAATATTATTATGATAGAGTAGCATTATTTTTTTTAGAGTAGCATTATTTTAAGTCAAAGTGTCCCCCCCCCACCCAAGCTTAGTAATTAAGGGAAGAAGAGATTCAATTTCACATGAAATTATAACATTGCTCATTTGACCTCTTCTACATTTAATACCAGCACATTGTCTTGTTTTGAAGGTCAGCATTTGGAACAATCCGTTATTAATGTATTCAGCCTGAATGCTCATTTCTTTTTCTACATCAGAAAAATATCTACTTAGAAAATGCTACCATGGTTTACCAATAAACACACACACACACACACACACACACACACACACACACACATATTTTTCAGCTATTTATCCTAAGACAAGGAAGGTTTGATTAACCATCCATTTTTCCTGAATGTTGCCACACTCCTTACAATTCCACTCGAAAATCTCTGAGGAAAACATTGCAGTATTTGCGCTTATGCCTGGCATCATTTGTAGCCACTTGGCTGACGACAACGGTTCTATGCAAAAGCACTCCCTGCCCATTTGGTCCAGCTTTCTCCAAACTTGTTTTCGCTCAAAGACCACACTCAAGTGTGTTTGGCATCTTCGGCCCTTGAATTAGGGGTTGAGATGTTTGTGCCAGACCAACCGGAGCTGAAGGCAGTGCAGTTGTTCTGAATGAGGTTTGGTCCTTGGCAGTCAGGCACGTTGGGGGTGGGGCACCATGCTGCAGTGAGGAAGGTTGGTCTGGCGGCTGGAGCCAGGGCTCAAGTTCCAGCTTGACCTTCTCCACATATGTCTTCAGGCAAGTTGGCCTCAGCTCCCCCCCACCCCCCACCTTAGGGATAAAAACAGGGAAATCCATTAGGTTGGTGTGGGTGGTTTGGGGGAACTCATTGGCTATTGGAATTTTTTCTTCAGTTAAACTTTATCTTTGTCTAATAAGACCATTAAAAACAAACTTACAGAAGCTTCACTACCATCATATTTCATAAAAGGAAGAATATTTTAACACTCCCAAAATAGAAAGGAAATAATTGAAGAATAAAGGACAGTCTTTTACATTGAATAAATTGAGCTTTATGAAAAATTCAGGGCATTGTTTCTCTGTCATTCTTGCTGCAGATCACTGTAAACTCAAAGATCCCCAATAAGCATTTGAGAACCAAGATCTGCTGGATCCTTTCATCTTGCAAAGTCTATTAAATAAGATGGCATTTATGTTATAGATTTCTGGGTTTTTGTTTGTTTGGTTGGTTGGTGGGGTTTTTTTTGTTTGTTTGTTTTTGGTTTGGTTTTGTATCATAGCCTGGTAGCCCCATACATTTTCAAAATTAACCTTGGGCCACACCTTCATTGCCGAAGATTATGTGGTAGAGACAATGATGGAAACGGCTTTTTCCAAAGGCACACCTGAATTATGTAGTAGGGAGTGGGAGGGAGTATTTGAGTCTAGAGAAGGGACCCAACTCAGTAGGAGGCCCGTGTGCTGAGGGAAGTCCTGAGGTGTCTGCAGACCCAGCCAGGTGGGAAAAAAGGCGGGCAGTTAGATAAACAATGAGGCCAAACTCTCACCTAAAATAACTAAAATATGTTTGTTTCCTTTAAATCCAAGTTAAATTCTCTTGTCTCAATTCTTGTGTTTCAAACTAAACTTTATTTTCCTGGACTCCTCCTAAATAATATGGCAGCCCCATTATTTATGGGAAATTTAGGGAACAGCTACAATTTTCCCTCTTTCAACCTCAGTCATTGATTCAGGCTTGGCCTCGAGTTGTCTGAAAGTTTTTTTCTCTGAGTGTCTCCTTCCCAGGCCTTAATCAGAATTTATATAGCCGACCGAGTCAAGACTCTACAATATATTTCTTTACATAGCAGGTTATTCACAGGAAAAAATGTTGGCTCCTATAGGAGCTCCTATGCAACCCCACCCATATGTATTTGATAACCCAGGGCTCGGGGGGCGGGAAGGGATTGCTGAGCAGGTGCTTCCTTTGGCTTATGTCCTTGGGTAGCTCTTTCTTCTCCGCATGCAGTGACCAGTTTGTCCAGGACAGGTGGCAGTCACGGCATTCCCTTCACAACCAAGGGAAGGAGCGCCCTTCTCCATGGAAACGCCATACCTGCCCAAGTTCGTTTTCACCTGGAGATAAATGTAGCCAGACATCCTCTTCTTCTGAAACGAGGATGGTCATAGCAGGGCTCTATTTCTTGACAATTGGGTTTATTGTAATAATTACTATATTTTGAGAATCAGAATGCGGGCCAAGCCTCATTTACTCAGTTTTGATTTGGTCCCTACCATGTGGTAAAAATACAGAAAAAAGTCAACGGCTCAGCCAACGTAGCTCAATGGTTGAGCCTCAACCTATGAGCCAGGAGCTCATGGTTCGATTCCCAGTCAGGGCATATGCCTGGGTTGTGGGCTCGATCCCCAGTGTGGGACATGCAGGAGGCAGCCGATCAATGATTTTCTCTTCATTGATGTTTCTATCTCTCCTTCTCCCTTCCTCTCTGAAATCCATAAAAATATTTTTTTTTAAAAATCAACGAAGAGAGATAGAGTTTTTAGTACTCAAAGAATCACAGAATCTAATTTATGAGGGACCATAGGCTCTCGAACACCCCTCAGTCCTGCAGGAGATCCTTGTGCTGCCAATTTAGGGTTGCCAGTAAAATACAGGATGCCTGATTAAGCTTGAAGTTCAGATAAACAACAAGTACTTTTTTAGTAGAAGTATGTCTCAGATATTGCTTGGAGCATACTTATTGGGATATATATGCATAAATTATTTATTGTTTATCTGAACTTCAAATTTACCTGGGCATTTTTTATTTTATTTCCTAAATCTGGCAACTCTACCAATAATAATATCAACAATAATAATAGCGACAATGCCTGCTAATCTTAGAAAGGCAATATAGCTTGTTGATTAAGAATGTGAACTCTAGCCCAGCTAGCATGGCTTGGTGGTTGAGTGTTGACCTGTGAACCAGGAGGTTGCGGTTCCATTCCCTGTCAGGGCACATGCCCAGGTTTCGGGCTCGATCCCTTGTGGGGGACGTGCAGGGAGAAGCCAATCAATGATTCTCTTTCATCATTGATGTTTCTATCTCTCTCTTCCTCTCCCTTCCTCTCTGAAATCAATTTAAAAAAATGTTTTGTTTTGTTTTTTAAAAAAGAGTGTAAACTCTAGAACCAGGTTGCCTGGGTTTAGAGCATAGCTTTGCTACTCACTAGCTTGTGACTTTGAGCAAGTTTTAAAGTTTCTCTATGCCTCAGTTTCTTCATAGTAAAATAGGATTAAATTAGTAACAGAGTTGTGATTAGGAGCTTATATTAGTACCATGTAATGTGTATATGTTTGATCAGTGTTATTATTAACATTTAGTCTACAGCATTATAGACATTTCTTATCCGATGAATAATTTTAATAATAAATTTATCTGTTCTAAATTTTTGCCTAAAAAGAAGTAGGCCATTAATCAATCTATTGGTGGCCTCATCTGGCTTTGGCACTTGAAATTACATTTGCTCGTGTCCCTCCTTCTGTGACTCTGGCGACTTTTAGTTCTGATTCACTGCCTCATTCCCATTTTCTCTTAGTGCCATGGACTGCCCCCACTGGTTCCATCTGGCTGTGCTTTTCAAACCACCCCATCTTCTGTACTGTCATTTCAAGTTCAACCCTTTCAAGTCAGAGATCTTTCTGGTCAGTGAAAAAGGAAGCAAAATTGCAGCCGAATCATTCTGCATTCTTGCCTTTGTGTATAAATATTAATTTTTAAATATTGTATGATTTATCCAACACTTGGCTTATTTCTGTTCAATAATAGTACCAAAGCTGCATCTCAGAGGTGTTAACATGTGACAAAACATGCATCTTGAAGTATATGAATTAAGGAAATTGCATCTACAATGCCAGACATGGTGCTAAGCATTTTGTAACATCGAATTCTCATAACAGCCCTATTGAGTAGGTCCTGTTTTACCCCACCATCCATTAACTGCAGCTCACAGATATGACTTACCCAAGGTCAGGAAGAACTGGACTTGGGGAATGAGGCGGTCTGACCAGAGTTACCTCACTGCTCTATTAGACACCTGGATCCTAACATATAAATTTATAAATGTCTCTTTGGGGGAGGAAATCTCATAGCCTTACATCTTCAACTGCAAAATTTCTAAACAGTGGGAAATCAGTGATTAAAAGAAACAATTTTGAGTATGTGTGTGGTTTAGTGTTTTTTCATTGTTTTCTTTTTTTTTATGATCTTTTTCCTCTGTGAGGGCAGGGACTTTTGTCCAGTGTGTGCATTTTGTTCACTGCTATATCCCCAGCATCTAGAACAGCGCCTGGCATGTTGTAGACACCCAGTTCAAACTAGTTGATTGCTGAATGAATACATGAAAATGTCTTTTTGTTACAATAACACTTGATTAAGAATGTGTCGTATAAAATAATTAAGACTTAGTATGAACACGTTCTCTGCTGAGAGGACTTCCTGGATTCCCCATGCAGAACACCTCCTTCCCCTCAGCCTGATCTGTATGGGTTTGTAATTGTCTGCTCTGAATAATATAGATACAACTCAGTTCCCTAAGCTTCTAAAGAGCTCATCTTGTATCCCTCTATCTGTTAAATGAGTACATGAATACATTCCTAGTATACCTAATAGATAAGAAAGGTCCCAGGCAAAAATAATATCATTTGAAAAGAGGAATGATAACTGCTCTTTCACTCCTTGGTCATTTCTGTTTTGTTTTGTTTTATTTGTTTTTTTCTAGTTGTGTGTCACCAGTCTTAAAGGAATAAGCTTCAATTCATTTAATATTTCTTTTTGTAGCACCTTGGTAATTACTAGTAAGTTCATTCCTCTTCCTGGAGAGGAACAAAATCTGAGCTAGCTGGTAATTGCCTTTGTCTTTATTTGTAATCTTTTAGAAAACAAGTACACAAGCTCTTCCTTGAACAATTGTGAATTTTTTATAACATCTGTTTACTTAATTTAAAAAAAATGTGTAGCTATGAAGATTAACAATGGACCTTAACTGGATATAAATTCAGACATATATAGGATCTGTCTTAATCTCAATCAACCCTTTCAAGCAGATGCCATATTTTGGGGATAAGGAAATTGAAATGTACCAAGGAGCGGTAAGTTACGTGCCCCGGGAATTACTGCAGTGTTTTTGGCTTCTTTGATGCTGGGTAGTTTTTCTTGATGTTGGCAATGCATTTGCATTTCCTTACTATGTGTTATTATTGGGAAAACTCAAGTAGGTGACATGTTTGATTTTTCTTTCTTTTTTTTAAAATATGTTTTTATTGATTTTAGAGAGAGAAGAGGGAGAGGGAGAGAGAAACATCAATTGGCTGCCTCCTGTGCATCCCCCACTGGGGATCAAGCAGGCCTGAAACCGGGGCATGTGCCCTGACTGGGAATCGCAACCAAGACCTCTTGGTGCACGGGTTGACGCTCAATCCATTGAGCCACACCAGCCAGGGCCATTGTTTGATTTTTTTAATGTTGTGCTGCTCTTCCAAGTGCAGCTCAAGAAAGCATAGGACTATCTAACATTGGAGCATTATATATAAAATTAGTTAAATGGGATGCAAGACCTACAGGTTGGGGGACCTTCCTCTTTCCACACATGCCACAAAACTCTAAAACTAAACAACCAGTAATGGGTAAAAAATAAATTGGGCGATGGGGATCATTCTGTCTGAATCAGACCCTGAAACTGTGGCTATGACTGGAACATGAAACATGAATCTTTTATTACTTCATTTATTAATGTGAGTTCGGTCCCAGTTCAGACACAGCTCCATAGCCAATTCAGTTGTGTGACAAAAATGGAAACTGTAATCCTCATCAGTGCGTTTCCTTACGTGGTTCATCACTTCCCCAGGCCTCCCCATCTCTGCATCCTTTCCCCTTCGCTCTTTCCTTTGCAGCAGAAGCACAAGAGCATTCATTAGTCCTGACCCCTGGAAAACAAACAAAAGAGAGCCCACACAGATTCATCAGTTGAAGTGGAAGGCAATTTACCCAGAGCAAGAGCTCACCCCATTGTTGCCAGATGAATGGTGCTGGTCGCTAGAGCCGAAGGAGGCTGCCACGCGAAAGACCTTTGATAATGCTGCCTTTATGGGAGCCCAGCACAAGGGCACACTGTCAACAGAGGCTGGGCCCTGCCCTGGCGCCCTGATCTGCGGGCCGGGAGCAGCAGGCGCGGGCTGGCCTGGCATTCTCAATGCCGGCCGGGGCGGGGTGGGTGCAAGTGCTGTGCATTGGTGGTGTTTCTTTCCAGTTCTCTGAAAAGCGTTGCTATGAGTCCCTTTTAGACCATTCATCTTGTGAAGAGTTCTCCTTAAAGGAATGCCCTAGAATTTTAAAAATACATATTTATTTTTAACTGCTAGTGATAACCGCGTGTTGTAAAATCGGTATTTACTGAGTGCCAGGTGTTACGTTACTTGTGACAAATAATACAACAGCCCTGGATGCTGGCTGTGTATTGCTCTCTGTCCCCATTTCACAGATGAGGAAACTGAGGCTCAGAGAGGTTAAGTACTCGAATCTGTTGACTGTTGGAGCTGAAGTCAGATCCTAATGACTTTCAGGGGCTTCAGGGGAGGAAGGAATCAGATAGAGGAAATACCTACCTGATAATTCTCATAGGTAGCTGAGAGGTTCCGTGAGACCATAGATTGGAAACCATCTTGAAAAAACAATCACTTGCTAAGGACAAGTATAACTAGTTCATCAGCTTTCAAGCCTTATTGGACAATGACTTGCCCACACCTTTCCCTCCATGCCCACAGCTTTCTCTCCACTCCATTTCCTTCTATTTTCCTCTTTTCTTTCTTACAGTCGATTTCCCTGTTTTCAAAGAGGTATTGAAAATAATCCTGCATAAGCAATCTAGGCTTGAAGGCCATTTTAAGACAATATCCTGAGGTCCATCCATGCATCCCCTTCTGACTGTAAGGTGATGGCAGGAACGTACTCTTGTTCCTGTTTGGAGTTGTTCAGTTGACAAGTCCCAGGAATAGCCTCCGACCCTCACTGGGCAGTTCCCCTTGGGAGCCTCCTGCTCACAATATGAGGGAAAGCGTGGACACTGGATCCACCAGTTCCAAACGTGTGTGCAGGCAGCAAGCACCCTCTTTTCATCGCCTCTCATCACTCAGTTCTGATCTACCAGAGCTTGCAATGAATGGCAATTTCTGGGCCAGACCCCCTTTTCTATTAGTAAGTCATTGTATAATAAGGCCCGAAGCTGGATTGGTAAATGATACTTCACCTTTGCATAAGACTCTACTTTTTCAAATTCCATCCCCATCCATCATCTCAGTTACCCTGTGACATTTGTAGCACCAGCATTAGTATCTCCACTTTAGAGATGGGCACCAGGGAAGGGAAAGACACAATCTAACGCCTTCTCACTCGTTCTGGTATTGTTTTCACTTTTTTATGTTAGACTAGAGGCCCGGTGCATGAAATTCATGCACGGGTAGGGTCCCTAGGCCTGGCCGGCGATCAGGGCCGATCAGGGCTTTCCGGTTGCTGGTCAGGGCCTTCCTTCATTCCACACCACCCCCTGGTGGTCAGCACATGTCATAGCGAGTGATCAAACTCCTGGTCTCCCGGTCGAACTCCTGAGGGGACACTTTGCATATTAGCCTTTTAGATAGATAGATAGATAGATAGATAGATAGATAGATAGCCTTAAACTGAAGGAGTGCTTTCTCCAGCTTTACACCACATGAAGTATTTTTCTTTTTAGCATTTTTCTTTTGAGCGAATGGTGGAAGTGGATGCCAAGAATTGAAGAAAGCAGGGCTGCAGTTGTCCTGACTCAGTGAATGTATTGGTGAATTTATATTTATGCAGAGCTAAGATACCCCATGAAACTAAAACCCAGGGGAATATCCTAGTGTGCCAGGATTTTTTTTTCCCCTACTGAGATGAAAACAAACTGACCAAACCAGTTGATCACTTTAAAGAACCACACCTCTTGTTCTCTTCTTATGGAAAATTTTGGTTTTCTCCTCATTCATAGCCATCTCCAACTTGCCTCTTAGAAAAAAAATTGTGTAGGAATTTAGAATTCTAGTAAAATCAGACCCAGGGGTTTAGTAGGCCTGTTGCCCCAGGGCCTTTAGAAATGTTTAGCAGTGGAACGTCACTTGCGGAGGCGTGTTGGGATGGAAGGGTGTGTGCTGGAGTATATCTGAAGGCATGGGGCATGTCTGAAGGCTGAATCACTCAAATACCTACAGAAGAGCACCTCCAGATTCCACCTTTATTTTGTTAGGTGTAACTCCTCGTGACCTAGACAATTTTATGAATTCTTGTGTTATGTAATCTATAAGATATAATTATAAGCATTGGAACTATATAGTGGTATAAGCCAAGAAAATAAAAAATCTAATGTGTTGCTTTATCTGACCATGGTTTGGTTTCGTTTTGTTTTGCTTTTCTAGGCACAGTACGAAAACCCACCCCACATCTATGCTCTTGCAGATAATATGTACAGAAACATGATCATTGACAGAGAGAACCAGTGTGTCATCATCAGGTACGGACAGAGCCTTCTTCGGGGTGGAGGATGTGAGGTCATGCTGTAGTTAGAGCTTCTACCGAGAAGCAGTGCTTTCGCAACAGCTGCTGGCGTAGCTGAGTAACAGTCACGCTGCCTGCTTTGTCTTGGTTCATTTTCTAATTCCAAATCATAAAAGCTTTTGAGCTTCTGTGGGGTTGGGCTGCTTTTTTAAAATTTTTATACCCCGTCACGCATGGCATTAAGGCTTTAGGGCACAAGGTGTAGCCAGATCTTTTATTGATCATCACTGGGGCCTTGGACTAAACATTGTAAAACCCCTTTCCTCCCGTGTGATCACGCCGTGGCTTGACTCTAAGATGAAGATCCTTTATGTCACGAGCTTCACTGTTCTGTCAGCTAGAGTCCTATTCTCTAGGTTCCTCTTTTTTTTTTTTCCCCAGTAATTTAGTTCAAGTTTGAACTTTTTGGTGTACTTTGTCATTTGCTTTTAATTTTCTGTGGGCATTAGTGGTAAATGCCAGCATTACCTATCTGTCTGTAGCTACATGTCAAAATCCTTTTAACTTGACCTAACTCTGGGTCTTTGCTGGGTTTAAGTGCCTTTACAATTTTGTTTACTATTATGAACACTTACTATTATGAACATAAGCATCC